TTTTGCAAACTGCTCAGAATACAAAAATACTCCTATCAAATTTACCTATCAGAAAGTCAGAATGGCGTAAGTTGCACGTTTTTACTGGTTTTGCGTGATTATTTTATTCTCTGGATGCCAGTACTTACTGCAAAATTTTATGAATAGACCTATTATGACAGCAACTTTTTTTTTGAATTAAGTAAGAGTTTCGTTTTTAATAAACACCACGTATTTACTTAAATATGGTAGAAAAATAAGACTATATTTTTATGCACAAAAATTCAAAATTACAAGTAAATAGAGTGTGGTATTTCGGCATAATTGTGCTGCAGTAACGTATCTTGACAAAAATGTATCAAAAATGTCAATGTAGTACCAATGTACTTTTGGCTTCCAAAATGTACCAAAAAAGTACAATTGTACCATCAATTTCATCACTGAATTGTACAATGATAAGTGCAAAGAGTATGATGGAGAAGTTGTACTTGTACATACATACATAGGTATGTAAGTATGTGAGTATGTATGTATATACCCTGTAGGGAAACCGCGGACTAGTGAATCAAATTTCTAGTTCCGTACTAGGTCTTTATCGCCAAAAACGAACTAGTCCGATAGGAACTAGATCCCCACCAGTCCAAAATCGGCGAAAAGTGGTACTTTTAAAAAACTAATTTTTTTTCAGTTTTTATCACTAGAAATCTATATCTAAAGTGACGAATTTAGAACTGGTTCGGAACTATAGAAAAAGGGATGCAGAACGAACTAGATCTTATTTGTCGAATTTTGAACTAGTTCGGAACCTTCGAATAAGGGATGCAGCGGGGGGCTTGTTTACTTTACATAGATATGTGTTCGGCGGCTTTTTCGTTCAAATACGCTTCTATTATGTGCTTCGCAGATGCTTTTTCATAGCTTGGTAATACAAAACTAAAATTTGTGTTAACATTTCACCATCTTGGGACAGTCTGGAATCTAAGAAATAACAGCGAGCACCTCTGCAAACTCAACTACAGCTAAAGGTATGTAAACGTACATTTCTTACAATCATTCAAACAAATTTAATTTCAAATTGAAACACATTTCTTCCAAAATAACTTAAAATCGCACACACGGAAGAACCATAAAGATTGAAAAATCATAATACATTTTTCTTTCGTCTGTCGATTTCAGAACTGGTTCGGAACTATAGAATTTAGGACTAGTTCGGAACTGTCGAAAAAGGGATGCAGCGGGGGGGCAATTGACACTTCCTAGGACATCGCCATGTTAAATTCGCCAGTTGCTTGCATGCAAAAGAGATTTATCGCGAACCAGTACTGGGTCTAAATGTACTAGAAGCGCACCAGTTCAGAACTAGAGATTTTCCCCACAGGGTATGTACAAACATATGCACATGCATATGCATGGTAAATATGCTGCAGCGACACACAAAAACGGTGACGAATGTGCGAAAACAGTGGGGATAGAAAAAACTGGAGCTCCAACGATGACAATAGCTACATATGTAAGTCAGCGATGCTAGCGACGACAACAACAACTGCAAAGAGTTGATGTGTAATGAGTGCTTGCGATGAGGGTGTGTGAATGAAAATTCGATGATAGCGACGTTAACTGGAAATGCAGGTGCGGCGACGATGAATTAGTAAGGAGGGGCGTGAACAGTGGTGGTGAGTTAATCATATATTAAGTACATTGAGAAGATGACAATAAGAGATAATCTTTTGATTATAATTAAACATGCACTGAGAAATCGGCTGTCAGTATTTCAAACTTAAGATGACTACGCTTCGGTGCAATGTAAGTTCTAAAAATTTGGAAAAGGTGCAAACTACCGACTCTTGAATATGATATATATAGCTTTACTTTAATTTTTGATCTTCTACCACCTGTAATTTTACTTGCGCATACACATTTAACACTATTAAATTTCATTCGTACTCGAAAATTCGTTTACCGATAATTCGGTAATATACCTTTTAGTCAACATTTTAATGTGAATGTTGTATTTAATAAGCACACCAACTAAATAAGTTTTAAATTTGTAGCTTAAAATATGCAAACAGATTCTGACTCGAGCTCGGTTTCTACTGAAACTGAATGGGCTACAAGTTTTTTATTTTTTCTCAATTTTTATAAATTTTCTAGAAAGTTTGAGACTTCAACTCACATGTCTTTTGTTATAGAATTAACTATATTTTAATAAAAAAATTTAAATTAAGTAAGGAAATAAAACAAAAAATTCAAAACCTGTCAATACATTTTACTACTATTTTCCTGAGCACAGCTGTACATACATACGTAATACCTTTGATTTGTTTTAAAGTAATGAATTTTTATATTGATAATACTATATGTATTTAAAAGTCTATTGGTTATTTTTTGTTAAATTAATGCGCTGTTATTTGGTTGTTATATTTTAATAACAAAAATAAATAGGCTTAAAAATGAGCTGATTTTTATGACTTTGTACTGATTTTTGATCCCAACTGTACTGATTATGTCACTATAATATCTCGCCACCCTAGCTCCAATCATGATTTTGTGGTCGTCGCAAGGCATATCTTCGATTGCAGTCTTAAAGAACCTAACAAAAGCATTATGTCCACGAAAAAGTTCTTGCGATTCTCCAAAGATCTGGCATTTCATACCACGGTTAATCCCACAACTGTGGCTTTCTTGTTGTGTAAGATTCCCTATTAATTAGTCTGTAACCATCGGATACACCCTGTGGTGTATGAACTTGATATGTTGGATGGTTGATAATCTTATTATTGTCATGCACATACATACATTGTCAAATCCATTTTCACCTATTGTTTTTCTTCTGGATATTTCTGCTGTTCTGAATAAACGTGTTCGCAAAGGTGAAAGCTGATCTTTTTACTTAACATAATTTATGGTGCCTCCTGTGGGGAATGAACATTTTTAACCCAAATTGTTTTGACAGTTTATGCCAAAGAGGACACAATTGTTATCGGATTGTGGGGCATTGCATCGATATTTGTGGATTTGCTGGCGCACACGGTTTACGTCCAATTATCACATTGCTTCAGCACAATGACGGAAATAAATCTGAGGAAGTTTCATGCATCAGCAATTTCTCGCCTTATGGATCAGGTCCGAAAGGCAGGAACAGGTGAATTAGACTCCGCGAAGGCTGAGGAAATGCTGAAGTCCGCTAGTGGTCATTATGACCGCATGTTGCAGAATCACGAAACATTAATTCGCTCGGCCAAAGACGAGGAGCTTGAGGTAAATGCATCTTGGTGGCATTCCACTGAAGAAATGTATAACGAGTTATGTGCAAATCTTCTGCGTCTACGTAGAGTGCAAGTTAATCCTGGAGACTCCGTCATCCAGCGTAAGGGAGATTCGTCTATTGAGTTGAAACTCGAGCCATTAAATATTCCAACCTTTCACGGAGCGCTGCACAATTGGTTGGCCTTTAAGGACGCCTTTGAAACGTTAGTGCACAACTGGGATTTACCGCCAGCATATAAACTCGGTAAATTGCGTCAAGTTGTGCCATTAGCATCGGTTTCTCTGGTGAGTGGTCTGTATTCTGGAGGTTACGAGGAATTGTGGCGAGCATTAAAGGAGCGGTATGATAACTCCAAGCAGTTAGCAGAAGTACATGTGGCTCGCTTCCTCAACCTCACACCATTGTCGGAGGACTCTGAAAAGATGCTGCTGAATATCGTCGATGTAGAGTGCGAGTCCCTGCGTGCATTGACTGTTATGAAATTGCCAGTGAGTGAGTGGGACGCATTGACATTACCCATTATATTCTCGAAACTTCCATTTGTAACACAGCGTGAGTGATGCATGCACTGTTCTCCGACTGAGATAAGCAGCTTAACGGATTTATAGAAATTTCTCGAGAAGAGAGCGCACAGTCTTTCCACAGAGCTTGTACGTGTGCATCCCTGCTCTGAACAAGGGGTAGGACGTCAGCAAGGGCGATCGTCATCAGCGCGTGCTGTTAAATGCAATTTAGCGTCCGAGAATTATAAGTGTCCATACTGCCAGGGTGCTCACAAGATCATACGTTGTCCAAAAATATTAGATTTGCAACCAGAAAACCGATTTGAGGCCCTTAGAATGTCTGGTCTGTGCTTTAATTGTTTAGGGCAAGGGCATTTATCCAACCAGTGCTCTTCAGGTGGATGCCATAAGTGCGGACGCAAACACAACACAATTTTCTGCCGTGATTCTCCAAACGCTGCAGCAGCTGCGGCATCGAAGCCCGCCTTGCCTGCCACTTCCAATCCCCCATCATCGCAGGTTAAGTCATCAACGCCCACATCAAGGTAGGCCTGCCATACTCAAGGTGGGTGTAGTGTTAATACTATTTACTATTGTACTTTGTTCATTTTTGTACTTTGTTATTTTTGAAATTATTGAATTAAGTTCTTTTTCAATTTATGTAAATCAAAAAGAAAATTTTTGATTACCTCAGAATTTTTTTCTCCTTTGAAATAAAAAAATATTTAAATTTAAATTAAGTTTATATAAAAATAAAATTTTTAAATACGCTACAATTGGCGACCCTGCCAGGAGAAATATAAGAAATTACATTAAGCTGATATATTGATTTTGTACACTTGGTTTGTTGCTCCGCGGTACTAGTCCACAGATGATGAGATGTTACACCAAAATGTTGAAGTGCAATGCGTCGCAATAGTCAGCAGTGAAAAAGAGTAGCACCATTGCGAGCAGCTGGCATATTCCAACACGCACTACTACCACCACCGTTATCACCACAACTTGAATCACAGCAGCCGCAACATCAGGAAGCAATATTCCCATTGCTTTTTGTTGAAGATCAGCAATCACAATTAGTAGAGCAACAACAACAACAGCTTCAAACGCACCAATGCGCATTCAACGACACTAACACAATTGCCGATATCATTGATGCATCTGAATTAGAAACTATTTTAAGTGCTGATATTGCATCAACCAGTTAACAACAACCACATAACCAGCAGCAGCAGCAACGTTCTCAATATCAAGAACAGCAACCGGAAAGTTTGAGCGGTGCTCAATGCTCCTCTTTGAGCGTAATAGGAGAAGTTCCAGCTGGTAGTAGCGCATTAACAGAACGAAACAAAACATCTCCAACATCACTGCCATTGCTGCTGCAGGAGGAAGAAGACGAAGAAGCGGACACAGGCAACGAGGCTAGAGCATCGAAGTCACCCGCAGCAGTAGCGGCATCAGCAGCGACCGCAGCAGTAGCGCTAACATCAACAACAATCTTAGTTTTACTGGTGAGCTGTATTGTTCTCATATTTTTAATATATATATATATATACTATTTTTATTAAAAATTAAAAGAATTTAATTGTTATTTATTAAATATTACATATATAATATTTAATTTTTTAATTGTAAACTTCCCTTTTCTGAGGTCTTTTGATATTTGCTCAAATTCAAATAATCAAAATGTTTCGTTCACCACAACATGATACACATACATCTACACGAGATAATTTAAATGAAACTCTTATTGATTTACAAAATAGTACGTTTAACGAACAGTTAACAAATCCGTATGTCGATCGAAATAGTAATGAGATTTGTGCTACATCGGTCAAACTACCACAATTCTGGACAAGTTGTCCGGAAGCGTGGTTTATTCATGCGGAAATGCAGTTTAGTACCAAAAATATTACACAAGAAACAACAAAGTATGAACATACAATTACTGCACTTCCGCAAGAAGTTATAATAACGATTTTAGACTTTATTCAAAATCCGCCCGAAAATAATAAATTTACTGCACTTAAGAAAATTTTAATTGAAAGGCATTCATTAAGTGAGAATGCGAAATTAGACAAAATTTTATCGGATACTGAAATGGGTGATCGTAAGCCCTCGGAATTTTATCGGTCACTTGTACTGCTTTCGGGTTCCAATTTTAGTCAAGAAATTCTTAAGAAACTTTGGATGAGGAAGTTACCGAAGAACCTAAGTGTGATTTTAGCTAGTTCTAATTCAAGCAGTATTAGTGAATTGACGAAATTGGCTGATAATGTTTGGGAGGTTATTAGCAAAAGCGAGATAGCTTCAGTTAATGATTTTCAAAATTCAAAAGGTGAAAATGCAGTCATGGCTAATTTGGTTAACACTACTTCTCTTATTTTTAAAAATTTTGAAAAACTTTCTTTGGAATTATGTGAAATGAGGAGGGAAATGAATCAAAATTATTCAAGGTCACGTTCAGTGAATAGGAATCGTTTTAGGAGCCCTTTTAGATATCGATCAAAATCACGCGACAATCCGAATTGGTTATGTAGATATCATTATAAATTTGGAAACAAGGCTAAAAAATGTGAACAACCATGTGCATTTTCGAAAAATAATAGTCCAACAAACTAAAGTCGTCCGTTGTTGCGGCGACAAACAACGGGAATTTGGACATTTCCACACGTCGCCTTTTTATATTTGATAAAACAAACAAACTAAATTTTTTAATTGATAGCGGAGCAGAAATTTCGGTACTTCCAGTTTCTAAATTTTCGAATACTAGGAAATCTTCAGATATAATTTTAACGGCAGCTAACGGCTCAACTATTTTTACATACGGGAAGAAACTTTTGAATATTAATTTGGGTTTAAGGCGTGAGTTCCTTTTTACATTTTTGATTGCTGATATTGCGAAGCCGATTATAGGAGCTGATTTTTTGTGTAAATATGGACTTCTTATTGATATTAAAAACAAGTGTTTAGTAGATCCGTTAACAAATCTATCAGTTAATACAATTTCGTACTTTTGCAATGTCCCTCTTCCAAAAATTTTTTTAGTAGATGATCAATATACAAAATTATTGAAGGAATTTCCTTCCCTTATTTCTGAGCCAGATTACTCAAAACCGGTTAAGCATACAACGGTTCACAGACTTGTCACTGAAGGAAACCTTCCTTTTTCTAAGCCAAGGCGCTTAGATCCTATCAAATTTAAAGTAGCTAAAACTGAATTCGATTTTTTGGTAAAAACAGGGATTTGTAGACCATCAAATTCATCCGTGGCATCTCCGCTTCATTTAGTACCAAAGAAAGAAGTTAATGACTGGCGTCCTTGTGGTGATTTTAGAAGACTTAATAATGTGACTGTACCGGATCGTTATCCTTTGCCTCATATTCACGATTTTAATATGAACCTTAGGAATAAAAATATATTTTCAAAGTTAGATTTAGTTAGAGCGTATCACCAAATTCCAATGGCAGAAGAAGACATTTTTAAAACGGCGATTACTACTCCTTTCGGTATGTTTGAGTTCACCCGAATGCCTTTCGGGCTGAGGAACTCAGCGCAAACGTTTCAGAGATTCATCAACGAAGTAGTAGGTAAATTAGATTTTGTTTTCGCGTATATTGATGATCTACTGGTTGCAAGTGAGAGTGAAGAACAACATTTAAAGGATCTACGGGTACTTTTCGAACGTTTGTCTGAGTATGGTTTGAACGTCAAACCAAGCAAATGCATTTTTGGTGTTCCAAGTATAGATTTTTTAGGACATTGTTTATCTGAGGCAGGGATACAGCCTTCTGTAAACAGAGTAGAAGCGATTCGCAATTTTGAACGACCGAAGTCAATAAAACAAGCGCAAAAGTTTATTGGTATGGTTAACTATTACCATAGATATATTTCAAAATTAGCTGAGTTTACTGGAGTTATATATGATTTAATTAATAAAACAAGTAAAAAGCGAGACAAAATTTTGGTTTGGGATGACAAATCCATTAAAGCTTTTGAATGCATTAAAGAGAAGTTTGCATCTAAGATTTTGCTAAATCATTTTAGTAAAGATGCAAAATTGTCTTTAACGGTAGATGCATCCAATACAGCAATTGGTGGTGTCATACAGCAGCATTTCAATAATAAGTCTGAACCACTTGCGTTCTTTTCAAAGAAACTCCCTCCAGCAGAAATGAAATATAGTGCTTTTGACAGGGAACTTTTAGCAATTTATTTGAATATTAAACATTTTCGGTATTTATTAGAAGGAAGACAGTTTACGGTTTTTACTGACCACAAACCCTTGATTTTTGTTCTAAATTCCAAAACTGAGCGTAGTCCAAGACAGACAAGGCATCTTGAGTTTATTGCACAGTTTACTAGTGACATACAGTATATTAAAGGACAGACCAACATTGTAGCTGACACGTTATCTCGTGCGTTTGAAATAGATGTGATTAAAAATTCAGAACTTAATTTTAAAATTTTACAGAGTGAACAGCAACAGGACAGTGAACTTAATAAACTTATTTCTGGACAAACGTTTCAAAATCTTAATTTAATTAAAATTCCTATTCTAAATTTTAATATTTGGTGTGAAGTGTCAGGAGAAAGTCCTAGACCTTTCGTTCCAAATAATTTGCGCAGGACAGTGTTCGATATGTTACATGGAATTGCTCATCCTGGTACCAAGGCTACACGCCGATTAATTGTGAAGAAGTATTATTGGCCTTGTATGAACAAGGAGATAAACATATGGTCAAAAGGATGTATAAGTTGCCAGAAATCTAAAGTTTATCGTCACACAAAATCTCCTGTGAGCACAATTCCAATTCCGAAGAGCAGATTTGAACATATACATTTAGATATTGTTGGACCGCTTCCTGTTTCAAGAGGTTACCGCTACATTTTAACAATTATGGATAGATTTACTCGTTGGCCGGAAGCATATGCTGTAAAGGATATCTCTGCACAGACAGTTGCAAATAAATTTTTTAATGAATATGTTTCGCGTTTCGGTGTGCCTTTAGAAATCACGACGGATCAGGGTACTCAATTTACGTCCAAATTATTTTCGGAACTTACTAAATTACTTGGTAGTCATCATATCACAACTTCTTCCTATCATCCTCAAAGTAATGGTATTGTGGAACGATTCCATAGACAATTGAAAACTTCAATTTTGGCTAGGAATGGAACTAGAGATTGGTACGATGAGCTACCGATTATTCTTCTTGGTTTGCGTTCAGTGTACAAAGAAGATATTGCAGCCACTCCAGCTGAAATGCTTTTTGGCCAAAATTTGCGTCTACCTGGAGAACTTGTTGTGCCAACTACAGAAAATGTTACTTCCGCCGAAATTTTAGGAAGTTTACGGGAACGTTTTAAAAACTTTAATTCAAATTTAAAACATCACAAAAATTCCGATTCAGGAATTTATGTTCCAAAAGATTTACAAACTTGCAAATTTGTTTTTATTCGCATTGTTAACAAGCATTCTCTTCAACATCCTTATGAAGGGCCTTACAGAGTTATTGAAAAAGACAAAAAATACTTTAAGGTAGATGTGAATAAGGAAATTAAAATTATTTCGATTGACAGACTAAAGCCAGCAATAGTTGAAATAACAGAACCACATAACACTAACAACCATATAGTTTCAACAACGACTAAAAAGAAACAAGTTACTTTCAATTTGTATAATAATAACTCTCTGGAAGGGGGAGTATTGTAGTGTTAATACTATTTACTATTGTACTTTGTTCATTTTTGTACTTTGTTATTTTTGAAATTATTGAATTAAGTTCTTTTTCAATTTATGTAAATCAAAAAGAAAATTTTTGATTACTTCAGAATTTTTTTCTTCTTTGAAATAAAAAATACGTTAAATTTAAATTAAGTTTATATAAAAATAAAATTTTTAAATACGCTACAGTGGGCATACCACGCTCCTGGCAACAGCATGTACGTACATTTCCGGCACTAACTCAGGAAAATGTTTAGCTCGGATCTTATGCGATCCCGGATCACAAGTAAGCTTTATATCAGAAAGTTTTGCTAACAGTCTAAATCTTTACAGAAGTGTGTGCGACGTCTTGGTGGAAAGTATTGGCGCCTTCTCATGTACGCGCACGAAGGGTGTGGTAGAAATTACGATTGAATCAACACATTCTGACTTCGCAATGGCGATTCAAGCATTAGTTATCACGTCGATTACCTCGGTCAGTCCGGCAGCGCAGATTGACGTGAAACGGTATAACCACTTGGCTGGTCTGCACATGGCAGATCTAAATCGTGGTACACCAGGCAGTGTTGCCAACTTTTAATTTTCAAAAAGCACCAAAAACTTGGAAAAAAGCGTTTTACCACACTGAAAGCATCAAATGGTTTTGAATCAATGGATGCTTTTTTCATAACAGCTTGTATGTATTTAACAAAATGGAATCACAACAAACGAAAATCATTCCCTAAGTAGAAATGAGCAAAAAAAATTTATGTTTTCATTATATAACTTCAAATATCGCCAAAAACCGTGATTTTTGCACTTTGAGGTTAGGATATCTCAAAGTTCTAGTGCTAGAGCAATTGTGAGGCCAGATTTGGATTCAGCACCAAGAAACGATGTGTTTTACTCAGGAGGTATAAAAATAAAATTGTTTACAAATAATTAGAAAAAAAGGAATTACTTAACTTACTCGCATATCTACTAGCATTTTCAACGAGAATAGAATTGAACAAGGTGAATTTGCAAGCTCAGCTTTTTATCAATCATGGATGTATTTAAGTGCATTTAAATTTGTAGATTTTTGTAAATTCAGTGCTGCCACAACTTTAAATATTCAAAAATTACTTCAGGTTTTAACTATATCGGAGTAATTTTAGTTCAGAAAAAAACACTAAAAACGGCACTCGGCACTAAATAATTTTTTTGGCGTTTTAATTTTCAAAAAGCACTAAATCTAGTGCTTAAAGCACCAAGTTGGCAACTATGATACCAGGCGTCGTCGACCTATTATTAGGGGCCGATTTTTGGGGTCTCATCTTGGAAGGAGACATCATTCGTGGTGGGCAGAACGAACCTCATGCTCAACTTACTTGGGTTAGGTCATCTTTGGTTCAACATCCGCAGCCAACAAAGACATACCTAGCTTGCAGTCATATCGTGCCCAGATTTTGGAAGATAGTCGTTTAGATTCGATTTTGAGTAACTTCTGGAAGCTGGAAGATGAGCCTGCGGGCGCTGAGACTGTTGATGACGAGAGCGAGTTGATATTTTCGAAGACAAACACGCGTACTCCGGAGGGCCGCTACGTGGTACGCCTCCAGCGTTGCCATTTTAGCCGTTTTCCGGCTAGATTTAGCCGGTTTTGATAGCAACTAGCCGGAGAAAATTCGATCTAGCCGGCAGCCGATTTGTTAGCCGGTTTGTAAAAAAAAAGTAAACAAGTTGTTCGAAAGCAATAATGCAGACCCAATGAAGATTTTTAATGAACTCAATGTTTTACTTTCGCATCTATGCTCCCTAGTGGTTATTAGCGCGGACACATTTGATCCTATATGCTCCCCGTTGGAACCATACCTTGCTCCATTTCCTCAGTTTTATCACAATTTTGAAGAGTATTTAAAAACAATAGTAAGCACAAACGCTTTTAACCACGAAGCCGAGAAAATAATTCGAGAAAATGGTCGCTATTTTATTATCACTTTAATAAAGGAATTACGCCAACGCCTCCCTACAAATATTGCCACACTACAAAAAATTGACTTTTTTCGGTTGGAAATGCATTAAGAGTAATTAAACCAAAAGTATTTGTTCAACTACAGCAACAAAAACACAAATATAATGCCGACGAAATAACATCCATAGAGATGCAATGGCAACGGTTAACGTCACATACCTGGAGTAATTTAGACTCAACTGTAAAATTTTGGGCCGAAGTTTATCAATTTCGAAATGCCCTAGGAGAAAACCCTTTTGCTGACCTTTGCAACCTAGTTTTTAGTTTTCTTGTTTTGCCTATAAGTAATGCAGAAGTAGAGCGAATATTTAGTTCAATGAATATAATAAAAACTAAGCAAAGAAATCCAATGTGCGTTAAAACGTTAAACGCTATTTTATATATAAGATACGGTTTAAAACGTGAAGAAAAATGCTGCCATAATTTTACTGTAGATGACGATCTCTTAAAATTAATGAATTCAGGTGATATATACAATAGTGATTCATTTGATGATGAGGAATATACACTCGATATAAATTAATGGTGTTAACTAGTCTTTCGTTTCTTGCGATTTATTTAAATAAAGCATGTGAATTTTCACTAAAACATTTTAGCCGTTTTTTGCCAGAGTCTATGTGAAATTTCACTAAAACATTTTAGCCGTTTTTAGCCGCTTTTTTTTGCCAATCTAGCCGGTCGGCCCAAAAAGTTCTGGCAACACTGTACGCCTCCCGATACGGGGTGATGCCTCAGCGCACAGCACATGGAACCCGTGGATAACCCAGGTGATCACTTCCGTATATATTACATTCCGCATCATGCGTTGACAGAGAAATTCCGCGTCGTTATTAACGCATCTGCGCGAACTTCTAATGGCGTCCCGCTTAACGAAATACAATTGGTGGGACCCAGTCTTCAAGACCCTTTGATTAACATTATACTTCGCTTTCGGAGATACCCCGTCGCTCTTACGGCGGATGTGGAAAAGATATTTCGTCAAGTTTTGGTAGCTCCAGAAGACCGAGATCTACAACGAATTCTTTGGCGAGAAGCACCGGCCGAGGACATAAGAGTATATCGTCTTAAAACTGTGACATATGGAATGACATGCAGCCCGTACAATGCGGTACGCTTATTAAATCAGTGCGCGATAGACAACTACAAACGGGTGAGTGATCATAATCAGGCCATAACCGCACGTAACACCATACTGTCTTCATTTTGCGTGGACGATTTTCTCACAAGCTGTGCTGATACTCAGGAAGCAATTACTTTGGCGAATGCGGTGGATACGATTCTATAATCTGGATGCTTCAAACTACGTAAGTGGAATTCGAACAAATCAATGGTTCTTCAGCATTTCATTGACTCCCCATTACCTGCGGAGCGAGACATCGACGCCCCGTGCTGGGTCTACGTTGGGATCCAGTTACAGACGATTTGCTCTTTAAGGTCGCGGTAAACCAACATAGCGGTCTGCTGACTAAGCGACAGGTGTTAAGCGAAGTAGCCCAACTATTCCACCCAACGGGGTTTTTGGCACCGGTAGTGATTTCCGGAAAAATTTTCATCCAGACGCTTTTGTTGGCGGGTATTTCTTGGGATGAACCCCTCCCCAGCGACCTATATGAATCTTGGATTAAATTTCGCAGTATTCTTCCTACACTCAATAGCGTGTACCTCGATGGCTGGGTATGAATGCAACCGAACGTACGACACTCTGTGGATTTTGCGATGCCAGTCCGAAGGACTACGCTGCGGTGGTGTATTCGCATACCAATTAGGCTGATGTCTTTTCGCGCGTAGCTCTCTTCACCGCACGGACTAAAGTTGCACCGTTAAGGGGTGCTACAATACCCAGACTTGAACTGTGTGCAGCACTTTTATTGGCAAAAACGATTTCCGACAATTGCCCTCTGCTGGATGCGCAAGCAACCCTCAATCCGCAAACCCTATGTTGCTAACCGGGTCCGTCAAATACAGGAATCCACCGCCATCGATCATTGGCACTACCTACGGTCGGCACGGAATCCGGCTGATTGCGTAAGCCGTAGTTTAACCTCATCAGAGGTTATGGTCCATGATTTATGGTGGGAAGGCACGGCTTGGTTGCGGGAGAAGCAAACATTGTTTTATCCAGAACCGGTATTAAGGGACGATGAGCGCACCACTGTACAAAGTGAGGAGAAGGTTCAAATATCTACCTTTATTATTTCGCTACCGCTCCAGCTTACGACTCGGCTCTTGGATGGCCGAATTATACCCCTAGCACAACGGTTTAGCTCATTGAAGAAACTCGTTCGAACTAGAGCTTTAATTCGGCGTTGGTTACCAAAGCAACGGCAGTTCCGACAAGGCGTAGTAACCACCCCGGAGATGGACGCTGCCTTACAAGCGCTGATACGTATCGATCAATCCACAGCTTTCTCCAAGGATATAAGCTGTTTACGTGAGAGAATAACGCTGCCCAACTTTAGTCCATTGGTACCATTCAATCCCAATTTGGATGATTATGATATCGTTAGAGTCGGCGGCCGCATTAAAAATTCGGCATTGTTAGAATCGCAACGTCACCCGATAATATTGCCGAAGGTGAGCGATTTGGTTGGACTTCTTATACGGAAAGTTCACATGGAAACACTCCACGGCGGTGCTCAGTTAATGCTGCAGACTCTCCGTTATAGATATTGGATTTTGCATGCACGGCTAGCTGTCAAAAGCTTAATACATAAATGTGTTATTTGTAGAAGGCCTTGTGTACCTTCACTCAACAAATGGATTCACTGCCCCGACAAAGAGTCACAGGTAAGCGGCCGTTCATTTCATCTGGCGTTGATTACTGTGGTCCTTTCACACTTAGGATTGGGACGAAGCGATCCCGTTGCACAGTAAAAACATATTTGGCAATTTTCGTCTGTATGGCAACCAAGGCCGTGCATATCGAGGTGGTAGACGATCTCTCATCAATTGCCTTCTTAGATGCATTCACACGCTTCATTAGTAGGCGTGGTCCCTGCCTTGATCTGTATAGTGACAATGCTACAACGTTTGTTGGTGCTAACTGTTTTTTTTTGAAGGAAGACCTGGCTGCCTGGCAGAATCGGCAAAATCAACAATCCCTCGCGAACCTTGGGACTCGCTGGCATTTTATTACACCCAGTGCCCCTCATCAAGGTGGGCTGTGGGAGGCGGCGGTAAAATCCGCGAAACGGCATCTGGTGCGGCTTATTGGTACCGAGGTGATGTGGTATACGCAGTTGCAAACTCTAGCGGCCCGCATTGAGGCGTGCCTGAATCCGCGCCCACTCATTCTGCAATATGATGACCCTGAGGACAAATATGCTCTAACCCCAGCGGACTTTCTCATTGGAGCCCCGCTCCTGGCAATACCAGAACTGGAGCTGGGGGAAGTTCCAGTAAATCATTTGAAACATTGGCAGTGGTTTCGACGCATTCATCAACAGTTCTGGCGCAGGCGGAGTGATGAGTATTTGTCAACACTGCAAACTAGGAGCAAGTGGCGACAACGGGCGGAAAACGTTCAAGTTGGTGACATTATATTGGTCAAGCATGAGAACCTACCCCCTACCCACTGGAGACTTGGGCGCATCACGGAGGTTCATGTTGGTAGCGATGGCTTGGCGAGTAACGTAACGTTGAATACGGCGCATGGGCCGTGCAGCCGGGCAGTGCAAAAACTTTGCCTTTTGCTACACCCTGATGATATCGAAGCTGAAGCTTCGACCGGGCAGGATGTGTAAGATTCTCTATTAATTAGTCTGTAACCATCGGATACACCATGTGGTGTATGAACTTGATATGTTGGTTGGTTGATAACCTTATTATTGTCATTCACAAACATTCTCAAATCCTTTTATTATTGTCATTCACATACATTCATTGTCAAATCCATTTTCACCTATTGTTTTTCTTCTGGATTTTTCTGCTGTTCTGAATAAACGTGTTCGCAAAGGTGTAAGCTGATCTTTTTACCTAAAACTTGTATTTGATATTGTAAGGGAGTTCATTGGCAAAAAATGACGAAAAGTTCAAATTAAGCTTCAACGAATACAAAGTACTTAATTTATTATTAATTTAATTTTAATTTAACGAATGAGGTAGATAATTGACAATTAAGATGATTTTTAACAACGTTTTATAATTATCTTATCTAATGACATTTTTATTAATCAATACTTTCAATTAATTAAGAACTAGGCTATGAACAATATTTCTCGTTAATCTTTCTTTCGTTAAAGCAAACTGATTCGATGGTTTTCCAACACGTGAGCATGCAACATACAGCTGCCCATGGGAGAAACACGGATTCTCTAAGTCCAAGTCACAAATAGCCATTGTCCGTCCTTGCGGCTTATTTACTGTCATCGTGAAAGTTTGGGTATCGGAAATTGTAACCTCTTGATTCTATGATTATGATGGTATCATATTTAGGCATTCGACATAACAAGACGTATTCTCCTTTAAACTTTCCAGTCAATATCATTGCTTCAAGTATACTTCCGGTAATTCTTTTGATGACCAATCGTGTACCGTTGCATCACTTTGGTGAATTTAAGTTACCCAAAAGAATGACTGGTGTCGATTGACTTAAAATCCATCAGATTGCCTGGCAACAAATTTTGTATATGACAGTTAAGTTCGTCAACATCGGTATTTTTTGCTGCTAAAATTACACGATTACTGAGCCTATTATGGTCCAAGTAATTAATATCTGGAAATACTTTCTCAATTATTTCGTTTTTTGAATGAACAAGAGAGCAGAAATTGTCTGGTAGTTCGATACATAGTGTATTCATCTAATGCTTCATATATTCATAGTTCTGCGCAAAAATACTTCCTTTTCCTGAAACACAGAAAGGATGCAGTTCTATTTTACCGTTACTAATATATAGTAATTGATTTGAAAATAATCGCGCCAATGGATCATTATGCAATTGTATTCGCATGATTATGTCAATCGAATTGTTTCAACGCTTTTCCATAAAAATGATTGTTTCAAACATGCGTGATCTCATAAGCATAACACAATGGAAGTGTATGCGCAGTGGTTTAGTTAGGTATTTAGATTTAAGAACTTTCGTAAAAGTAAAGATCGCTACTTTATAACGTATGATTCGCTAAGGGAAATTAAATGGGTTCACTTCGATTGGACTGGCATCTTGGATCAAGTTTTAAATATCTGCATGCACTTAAATCAGGGTATGCAAAAACTCCTATATATAATAACAAAAAGAGATTTCAACCAAAAGTCGCAATCTGCTCGTTATATGTTACAACTTCAATTACCGGAAAAAGGTATCCTATATGTTAATACAGGCAATAAGCTACCTACGTACCAAATTTGTAGCAAATCGAAAAAAGTATTCTGCATGTTAACCTTGGAAAAGCTACCCACAAGCAAATCGAACCATAAATAGGATTTTTTCGAATAGATCCGTCTCTGGTCCATTTCCCGGGAACAAGGTATCCTATGTATTAACTTAAGCAAAAGCAAACCACACCATAAATAACATATTTTGGAATAGATCAGTCCCTGGTCCACTTCCCTGAAAAAGGGTATTCTATATGGTAACCTAGGCAAAAAGCTACCCACGTACCAGATTTCAAGGAAATTAAACCATAAATACGATTTTTTCGAATAGATCCGTCCCTGTTTCACTTCCCGGAAAAAAGGTATCCTATCGGATACAGCAAAATTTGGCACTGAATCAATAGATATGACGTAAATGATGTGTTTCTAGCCGTTTCCATTTGAAATATTTCTTTAAAAATATTCAAATATAGTTTGCAAACCGCACCGATTTCAAATTGCAGGATTTGCATTTCATGCAAATCGAACCATAAATAACTTCCTGGAAAAAAAGTGTGCTATAATATGACCAATGCAATAAGCTATCTACGTACAAAATTTCAAGCGAATCGGATCGGTCAGTTTCGGAGTTTATCGTGGACAACAACGTGATACGATAATAAAATATAATAGATTTCTGTTCTAATTTTACTATAGCCGTGATAGAAGAATATGGGTGTTATGGAATGAAATCTTATACAGCCCGATTCTGAATACTCCCGGGGAGTTTGTTCTCCGGGAATTGGTATCTCCCGAGAAAGAAATCCTCAAATAATTAACTCCCAGGGAGAAGCATCTTCTCTGAAAATTTGGGAGGAGGAAATTCGAAATTCGAAAAAGCTGTTTGACACTTTTTTACAGCTCAACTCCGCCATTTAATATAAAAAATCCTAAGGGAATTTTTATTCATGATAGGAGGAAAGGGAAAAGAGAGAAAACTCCCAGGGAGTTTCTGTTCCGGATCGGCCTGATAGTTTTTTTTTGGCACAGCAGAAGTTTTTATTCACATTACAAAAAAACTTCCATATATTATATAATAGTAGAAATAATATCTATAGTAATAGAAGCCATCTAATCTTTTACAAATAATAACTCTAATATTATTTTACAGCATGTTTTTAATACTTCAAATCATCTATTAACATAAATGCATTTTCCAATACAATTATCATACATTTTATTTTTGATGAAGTTTTGTCATTGCAAAAGCTAAGCAAACTGGAAACTGAAATCCCTTGAAATTGGAAAGGCATATCAGAAGGGATTAAACCGATCTTGTGACTTGTGGTTCGGAATTTATAATAATAATAGATTGGCGCTTACACTTATGTTAGTGTTTGGCCGAGCTTCTCCTCCGACTTGTGGCGTGCGCCTTGATGTTGCCACACAAAGAGGAGGAACCTACAGTTTTACGCCGACTCCGAACGGCGATTGTATTTTTATGAGAAGCTGTTTTTCATGGCAGAAATACACTCGGAGGTTTGCCATTGCCTGCCGAGGGACGACCGCTGTTAAGAAAAAACCTTTTTTCTATATTTTTTGCGATGTTGCTTTGACCAGGGCTTGAACCCAAGTGCTGATGAGTGAAAGCGCGCACTGCTTACCACTACACTACAGCGGCCGACAATTTGGAATTTATAGCTGATTAAAAATTCCACGACTATGAGATGTGACACGCCCCTTTTCAAACTCATTTAGATATGAATACCTTACAATAAGCACTTACCATAGTTATGTCTGCATACCGAATTTCAAGCTCATGTGACTTATGGTTCTGAAGTTATAGCTGATAAAAAATTCCATGCTTTTGCGATGTGATACGCCTCCTTTTAAGTTCCTTTGAGTTATGGTTCCCCCCACCCTCTATTTTTGAATTTTTAGTTTACTTTGGTAGACAGGGCATTCTTTGCTGAATATACTATGTCCTGTGTCGAGCTTGAAACCAAGCTCTTTATTTCCGTTCGCGCAATTTCCTCATACAGGATTGGTTATCTGTGTACCACACTCATCAGATTTATCACCACACCACATCTTAATTTCTTAGTGCAAGTATTTGCGTTGCGATTGTACCCTAAGCATTTGAGACATTTTTTAACATTTAGCCCATCTTATACGCCACAATGATCCCACCCGATGTTAATCTTCTCACGTTTTAGCACTTCCAAGTATTTCTCATGTTTGATTTCGATGGTTGCGCTAAAGCTATTATTTCTCCTTTGTTTAAAAACTTTCACACATTTTAAAATAGCATTTTTCAGGAATTTGATTTGTGATCAGTGCAATCCAGTTTACTCCCTTAAAATGTGTTCGCACGAGGCGATTTTGCGTTCAACTTTTGCGTTCAAGTTGAATGGCTAAATGTTGGCTGGCGACCAACTTTGTTGAAAGCGATTAGTTGAAAGGCCGTTCAACCAAAAGGAGAATGCAAATTTGGACAATGCAAACCCCTTTTCATGGCGAATATTTTTATATTTTGATATTTCTAGCCATTAAATTTTTTTTTCGTGCCACCCTACGTGAGTTGAATGCAAAAGTTTCCTGAAAAATCGCCTCGTGCGAAAGCCCTATTATGCCTTTTCGGCACTTATGACACTTTTCCACTATTCTCTCAGCCCTGCTGAAGTGTAGAAAAAAGAAGTCTGATGAGATGTGGTGATCCCCGAAATAGCTGCTATAACTTCTACTGCTTAGACTTTGTTGCTTTTTTAATTTTACCTAATAAAATAATCGTGGTACAAAGCTCAATAAAAATATTAAAATTAAATGTTAATAAGCCACAATAACATTGACAGCGCAATTTTGTTTACCCTTTGCCTCTTTCGTGCAAAAGAAAGTGGAAATAGAAAAATTAGTATTTAGACTCGCTCAATTCATCGGCCATCATTTATTTTTTGAAGTTTGTCTACTTTATAAAATTGAAATTATGAGAGCAACTCAAATGCCAAATAAGAGTAAAACAAAAAACAAATAGATGAAAATATTCAAATTTCTTTTATTTGAGACTGAAAGTAAGAATGTATTTGTGAAATTGAAAATTTGAAAACATTTGTGTTATGTTAGCAAACATGAAAAATGTTCAGGCTGCCTCTCAGCGGTTTTACATTAAATTTTTTGTATCATGATTTAGAGTTCAACTCTTGAATTTAATCTTTTTCTTTTCACTTGTTTGTAAACTATTTCATTGCTGGTATATTCACTATCTCGTAAAACCATCAGCTGAGTTTAAACATGTATAAAAGTTTAAAATATCTCAACTTTTAACAAACTAGTGCATAGCAATCCAATACACGTCTGTTCACGTTGAAATCATATTCAATTGGCAATTTCGAATTCAGTTGCAATTTTTTCTATACCAGTGCATACAATAGAAATATAGGCGCCGTTAGGTGTCTGTTTTTCATCTTTCTGATATGCTTTTACATCTTATAACCCCTTGGCAAAGCAGGAGTTTCAAAAGAGATTCCGCTAGACGAGCCACGTTGCACTTAGTGATTGCAGATGCAATTGCATAATGGCAGATGCACCTAACTTTAATGAGGGAAATAGGCTGACTTCGAAGCATTCAGTTGTAGCAAGTGCCGATGGAAATTTGGTTAAAGCTACAGTTCAAAATCCTATTTACAATAAAATGTATAAGCACAAAATGGATTTTCAATTATAAATAATTGTTTAACTTACATGCATATTAGGGTTCCCATCGAAAATGTTTTTTTTTTGGACATTTCAAGACCCTACCCTCTAATTTTATTCGTTTTTATGAGAAATATTATTGCATATTTTAATAAATTTCTTAAAGGTCATTCAGAGAACGCGACCTGTAGATTTAGGTCAGAAAATAGGATTTTGTAGATTTATGAGTTTTTGAATGACTATTCTTGATTCGATTTCAAAAATCGAATATGATCTGAGAAGAGGATATGTAGGCCAAGGGTTCCCAAACTTTTTTCACCTCGGCACCCTTGTTGTGTTAAAAAAATTTCGCGGCACCCCTACTCTTCAAATGTATACGAAAACAAGAAAACACAATGCAAACTTTATGCTCCGTTAGCTTTAATGTGAGGACTAAAATTGTTTTGCTGATTTCATTATTTCCTTCAAGTTTATTGGGAGCTTTGACAATTTTACCCTTAAATCATTTGACGTTGAAAGCTTGCTGGTGTATTTGTTTAAGTGAGGTCTTTCGAATATATTTTGACATAAAATATATTTAAGAAATTTGTCTATAGATTTATTAAAAGCTGTCTAAAGAGGCGTTTGTGAGCCAAATCTATTTAAAATATTTTAAAACTATCAACAGCTTACGATTTTGTTCTCAGAGAACATGCCAACTGAGTATTGGGATTTTCTTTCACAAGCAAAACCAGCCTTTCGAGCTTGTGTTTAATATTGACGACGTTAGAACTGCATGAAATTAATAAAAATTGTTTAAAATTAGTGTCTAGCCGCCATAATGTAAAAAAAACAAATGCAAAGTCATACATTTTTCACAGTTTTCTAACACTTCGCTACACCATCGAAAGCAAAATTCGGTTCCGACAGAAAATTCGATACTCAACTAGGGTTGCAAGATTTCTTATGCGCGAAATCAGTACGTTAGACTTTTTCATTCTAAAAAAATCAGTACTTTTCAGTACGTTTTTATTCAAAGCAAAATTATGAATGTAAGTAACAGAAACAAATTTAAAACGCCAGAGTTCTTGTTTTTAACAATATTTTGGAATATAAATAAAATATAGTTCATAAAATATAAAAGTGTTATTCATTTTAACATGAGTGTAAACATCATTATACACAGGAGCCAATAAATTATTTTATATTTGTGACATTTTTGAATAGCAATAATGAGATCATTCCCATTTTCAGTGTTTAAATAGTCAAATAAATCTATACATTTCATTTTAAAATTACTTTTAATTTGAAGTTTACTTTCAAAAATTTTAATTAGAAGCCGGTTTCTCTCTTTGCGCCCGGAAACAAACTTTATTCTAAAGATCCTCTCAGTTGTTTCGCTATAGTGTGGTATTGAAAAAAAAAACAAAATTAAATATTTTTTCAAACTGTACCACTTTTTAAGAACTTCATCTATATTTCCTCATGGCTTAAATAATTTTTTCAACTACGCAAAAACTGTGAAAGACTAAGAATTCGCTAAAATGAGTATCTAACTCTATGTCTTGTATGCAAAACTCTTTTACAGTGTCAGTAAATTGAGAAAAAGGAGTTGTATGTTATAGGCAAAAGCCATTCGAATATTCAAATTTATTGTCATTAAACTGAAAGTTATTTTCGAGATAACTAACCCTCGACACAAATTTCAGCCTTTTTTTTTTTAATAATTTAGGCGCCATCAGATTATCGCAACTGGTACGTAACGACCCGGCGATATGCCCATAAAATGATTGATTGCTTTAATTTCTTGGACATATCAAACATTATCTATGTCAACTATAATTAAACCATTTTCTTCCTATTTTTTACAGTACAGTTTAAGGAAGTTCCAACGTTATGTAAAAACCTTAAGAAAATGCTAAAGTGTTTTGTTGAATGGAAAATTCAGTACAAATCAGTACAAATTATGAAAAATCAGTGCATTAGCGTACTGATTGAAGAAATCAGTACGTCTGGCAACCGTATACTCAACGAAAATTTCGACACGGTTGCAGATCGAAAATCGAATGCAACTCATAATAAGGGCATACAAGTCACTAGTATTTTTAATGCAATCTTTCCAACAGCAGTGTTTTCTGCATACACTTGCATCCAGAACTCTCTTGGCTCCCTTCGTAGTATTTAAGATTCAAAGTGCTGTCTGCACTGATGTCCAGAAGGTTTTCAAAAGCTTAATTGTTCATCTCAGTAGGTTTACTTTTCGGGCCACATGAAAACAGGTTTGTTATCCAGCTGAAGCCATCCTCAGAGTCGATGTTGGG